GCCATTCCCTCCTTGGGCCTGAAAGAGACGAGTTGCAAATGTTAGCTTTGGAGGGTTTTGGAGCATTAAAACAGACACACTAATACTCTAACTATTCTTGTTATCCTATTTTTCCTGTAAGGGAAAAGCTACATAACTGTACCTGAAAGTGTTGTTGTCCATGATGAACTTGCGACTCTCTGAACAGTTTGGGCATCGATGCGGTCACCTTTCTGCAGCACTTTGAGTAGCTGGACATGGAGATGATAGGATGGAGCTTGAATTCCCACAGAATGCAACATCTCCACACCGCCTTGATTTCTGTCCATTAGTACAATGGCATCTGTCACCTTTACCAAATAAACAAATATTTCATTAAAAAATGGACAGCAACCAGAACCATTATTATTTTGAAAAGGACTCTTGTATGCTGCTGCCCCACTGTACTTGATGGAATTCTATAACCTTATACAATGATCAATCACTTTTATAGGGATCACTGTAACATTATCATCACCACTTGATAGCTTCTCTCTTGTGTGAGAATGGCAATGGAGTTCCTGCCACCAAGAAGCCATGTGTGGAGCAGAACCTGCAGCTGAGTTATGCAGACAGAGCTAAACTTCCAAGTATGTTGTCTTGCAGCTAAATATAATTGACAATATGTCTGGAAGGCCACATCCAACTTGAAAATGTTATGCTTTTTATCATCTGCTCTCTGTCCTATGGTCTGCAGACATTCACCCTCTGGCATCGAAGCTGCTGAAGATCATGGACGATAAGAGGTCTAACCTCTGTGTGTCTGCTGATGTGACCAGCAGCAAGGAGCTTCTTCAGTTGGCCGACTCTCTAGGTCCCAAGATCTGCATGCTGAAGACACATGTAGACATCCTCAAGGTAGGAGTGTAACCGGTCCCTTTGTTGCAAAGAGAACTTTGTCAGGACAAATAAACTGATCTTATTGTCTTGTGTGCTAACAGGACTACACAGTGGCCTTCAGCCAGAAACTGCAGGCATTGGCCGAGAAACACAACTTCCTCATCTTTGAAGATCGCAAGTTTGCTGACATTGGGAACACAGTCAAGCATCAGTATGAAGGTGGGAGGATTTCATGTATTTTAGTTATTTATTTATTTTGGACGTGTTTATTCCAGAATTTTCTGTTATCAAAATTACTTAAAAAAAAAAAACAACTATATGCTGTATGTCATTAATATTCACAGTAACCATGTATCTGTTCTCCAGGTGGTTTGTACCAGATCTCATCTTGGTCCCACATAGTGAATGCTCATGTGGTGCCGGGGCCCGGGGTGGTGGCGGGTCTGAGTGCTGTAGGAAAGACTCTGGGCCGAGGCTGTTTGCTCATTGCACAGATGAGCTCCCAGGGGTCGTTGGCTACTGGTGAATACACAAATACTGTGGTACGTGTGTCTCTCCTTAAGCCTTTTTAAGTTTGCTTAAATGGCTTGTCTACCTGTTTACAGCTGTTTATCTCTGATTTCTGTCCTTACAGCTGAAGATGGCAGAGGATCACTCGGACTTTGTGATCGGCTTTATCTGTGTTTCTAAGATCACCAAGAAGCCAGAGTTCATCTACATGACCCCTGGGGTTCAGATGCAGGCTGGAGGTAAACTGAAGACTTTTGATCAGACCTCCAATTGTAATTTTTTTTAACCTTTTGGTTGAATTTCATGTCATTTACATTCACATTTAAGTATTTGAAGTGAAGAAATGACATTGTGTATTTTTACAGGAACATTCCACCATACCCACAAATACATGTGTGTGCAATGTTATAGGAGTTCCGAACCGCTTCATGTGTGTCCGGCAGAGCAGAAACTTTTCTGTTTGAATCAGCCAAGTTGTCTACACAAGCTGCCTAATGGCTCATGTTTTCCTCATGCTATCCACCAGGGAGCATGACCTGAGCTATATGTTTTATGTGTGTAACTGCTGATTGCCTCTGAGGCTCTCAGTGTTTCCAAAGCACAAGTAACCTACAATTCAGACTTTGAGCTTGTAGGGTGCTTTAGATGTGTTCATGTTGGGTAAAGAGACAAAAATCCATAACTTTTGGAAAATTGGAAAATTGGAAAATCTTTGCTCTCTTTTGGTGTTGTGACTCACCTTCAACACTTGGTGGTGCTATGATACAATAAATAACATCTGACTCAGTGTTCAGTAGGCTGACATTCCCCAACAACCTCCCCCTTTCTCTACCGCTCCTCAGCCATGTCTCCCATCTCTCTCTGTGTGTCTCTCTTTACAGGTGATATATTGGGCCAGCAGTACACAACTCCGGAGGAAGTTATCCACAACCATGGCTCTGATGTCATTATTGTTGGACGGGGTGTGTTGGAGGCCCCTGATAGGCTGAAAGCTGCCGAGTCATACAGAAAGTCAGGCTGGGATGCTTACACAAAGAGACTGAGCCAGAGTGGGCAATAAGAGCTCAGGAGTAGCATCTGCATCATTACATCTAATTTCAAATTTAAACTATCGATGTAATGATGATCTCTGCAGAGGAACTAGTGGTAATCAGACACTTTGTGTTCTGATTCCCTCCTATTGACCTGACATCTGATCCTCTGAGGTAAATGTTTACAATTGGAGATAAACAGCAGCTTCCCTATGATAGATATTTTTATATAAATATGTTTTTTCAATTGTGTGTTCTGCCCTGGGCTGCTAAAATGTCAGTATCAATCAAATATAAATCTAGACGTCATTCCACCAACAAAGATGACCATCTTCCAGCCAGCGTGAAGCCTTTATTTGTCACAAACCTACAGACTTGTCATACAAGAGTGGGTGTGGCTAAAACTGTTTAATTGTATAATACTTCTGTTGAAATTATGAGTATATTTAGCACACAGTGGAGCATCTTTTGTATGTTGAGTTGCCCAGTCTGCATTTTCCACATCACTGTTCACAAGGTCACACACATACTAATTAGTGCAAGACAGTATCTTTAATTCCTCTAAATACTAAATCATCTCAACTAGTAACTTTGTTGTGATGTATTTCCATTGATAAAGTGGAAGTAAAAGGACAATTAGCTTTTTCACCTAAACTTTGGCCACCTCATGGATCCTGTGAGGAAAAGAAAAGAAGAAGGAAACGTACTGGATTGTTACAAAGAAGTCTGACATTTCTCTCTCCATCTTCTCTGGTCTGTGGGACTGTAACATTACAGCTGTACCCATCCACACACAAGAAAGGTCTACTGGGAGAAGTATGCTGTTGGGTCGGTCAAGGTAACATTCAGTGTATGCAGTGTATTGTTTCTTTCCATGTGCCACAATTTTTTTTAAACAAATAATTATTTTTGTCATATGTTGGAGTGTTTTGTAAATATGCAAATACTATTTTTTTATACATAAAGGCAGTTTGTGTTTTGCCTTTCCACACTGATCCATGTTTAAATCTTTAATTTGAATTAAAATTATATTCTGTTTATCACATTTATTTTTAAGTCTTGGTCATCATTAATGCTTCTGAAGATAACATGGATTTGAATATTATGATTAAAATACTTGTTTGGAAACTCGCTGTCTCTGATTTGTTATTTAGAAACTTAACTGTGATGTAATGAGGAACTTCTCAAGTAACAACTCTGTATCACTTTACTGACCAAAGCTATACAAACTGTGGTTTGGCTTTGGTTTAAAGTTTTCATCTAATGACCTGGTAAGAAAGTGAAACTGTGTTTGTTAAAGGGCAAATAACGCCCCACCCCTTTGCCCATTTTGGGATTACCCGGAGGCGGAGTCAGGGACTTCCAAATTAGCGGCAGCAACCAACCAACTTAATCTTTTCTCTATTTTTTTCGGCAGCAACCGCCTTTTCAAAAAACGTAAGGTTTACGTAATGTATGAGACGCCCATCCGCCAATCTATGCTTTCGATTTATGGTGGGACACAACCTTGAAACAACTCCCGTTAGATCTCCTAAATATACGGCAGAATGGAAAACATTTGCATTGACAGTTTAATCCTGAAACTTCACGATGTGAACGCGGTGAAGTTTGGAGAGTACAAGCTGAAGAGCGGCATGATGACACCTATTTATATCGATGTGAAAGCTGTGGTATCGCACCCTGCTCTCATGAATCAGGTAAACAAGTGTGTCTTTTACTCATCATAGTCTGAGTGACTTTTGAATAATTAAAAAAAAGTGCCGTAGGAATGAGTCCTAAAACCCGAAAGTTAGTTAGTATTTTATCACTTTCGGTTTCCGCGTCCCGGAAGTCTGTGGGATTTAGATTATATGGCTGAAATAAGGTCTGTGGTTAACACAAGCTCATGACATTTTCACGTTTTATTCTAAAAATAAAATACGTCAGTAAATACGCCAGTCGTGATGTTCTTGATGCTTTTACGTCCCTTAATCCTCACAACCTTACTGACTTTAAAAGAACTTTAAACCTCCTGTAGCTGCACTGTCCTAAGGCTAAATGTTATTATTCGCGTGAACATTTCAGTTCTTCGCATTGGAAATTATGTTAGTGTACAAGTGTGTAAAAGTTTAAGAAATATGGCGAAGGAGGAGGGGGTCCAGTATTGCAGAAGCCTAAAAGCCAAGGAAAGGTTCAGCTAAAGAAGCACATTTGTCTGAAAGTTGTAGAGTTTATCACCCTGTGAGGAATCAGCAGAGCAGGTTCTAGATATCCCCATTAACAACCATTTGTGGAGTTTAAACATGATCATGGAAATAAAATGTGTTGACCCTCAGAGGAATGGTGGGGAAATGACCTCCTTCTTGCAACAGTTATAGGTACATTGGATGTTTATGTCTCCTGCAACACTGCTACTTTAAAACTCGTTTGCAGCTGCACACCTTATTTCTTGTTTTATTTTCAGGTGGCAAGTCTCATCTACCAGCGAATGCAAGAAGAGAAGCTACAGTTTGACTTAATGTGTGGGGTTCCATACACAGCCCTGCCTTTTGTCACAATTATCTGCTCTAAACATGAACTGCCCATGCTCATCAGGAGAAAGGAGGCCAAGGACTATGGTGGGTGAGAGGGAAGGATAGTCAGGCTCATCTTATCTAGTTTTTAAGAGTTCTAAACTTGCATTTGTCAGTACAGACCTAGAAAGCACAAGAGTTTTGTTGTGTAACATTTGTTTGGACAGAAAGCCATAAAGATTTGTCCTATTTTGTAACACTTGATCTTTAATCTGAGTTGTGATCGCAAGCAGAAAGACAGTATGACAAGATCCTCATGCATTATGATTTTTGTGCATTATACTACCTTGATATTGTGTACGTGGCAAAGAGACACCTAGCAAGACACAGCTGATAGGAGGTGCAACATGATTTGAAAGCTGAACTAATATAAGACGGTGTAGGATCTGCTGATTTACCTTTTTATAAAGTCTTTACTGGTTGTAACTAAGTGCATTCTTTCCTTTTTAAAAAGCACTGCACATCGACCTAATGTCAAGCTACTTGTCAACCAAAAACATTCCTGGGCCCCTATCCTATAAGGCCTCTAAATTTTGCCCCACTGGATGTTGATTTTGCCAAAGCCATCACTAAGTGACAAAGATAAGTTTGTTTAGAATAGGGACTATAAACCTCCTGATGTAACCCTGCTAGGAACCAAGCGTGTGGTGGAGGGGTCGTATCGTGAGGGGGATCGGTGTCTGATCATTGAGGACACAGTGACTAGCGGCAGCAGCATCCTGGAGACTGCTGAAGTGCTCAACAAAGAGGGACTGAAGGTTCAGTATCAAATTACAGTGGTGATGATACAGTGATCCCCTATTAAAGGACAGCAGAATACAAGAGTCATTTATAGAGTCAAAGTTATTGTGGTCCCGTCATTTTTTAATAAAATATTTGTTTATTTGGTAAAGGTGACAGATGCCATTGTACTAGTGGACAGAAATCAAGGCGGTGTGGAGATGTTGCATTCTGTGGGAATCAAGCTCCATCCTATCATCTCCATGTCCAAGCTGCTCAATGTGCTGCTGGCAGCCAAACGCATCAACCATCAAACTTTTCAGAGAGTCCGCAAGTTCATCATGGACAACAACACTTTCAGGTACAGCTGTGTAGCTTTTCCCTTACAGTGAGTAGGATGGCAGGTAGAGTTAGAGTGTTAGTGTGTCTGTTTTGATGCATATCTTCCCTGTACCAGCTCAAAAGTAACATTTGCAACTTGTCTCTTTCAGGCCGAAGGAGGAGAATGCCAGTGATGTTCCTGCCACCAAGAAGCCACGTGTGGAGCAGAACCTGCAGCTGAGTTATGCAGACAGAGCTAAACTTCCAAGTATGTTGTCTTGCAGCTAAATATAATTGACAATATGTCTTTGGAAGGCCATATCCAACTTGAAAATGTTATGCTTTTTATCATCTGTTCTCTGTCCTATGGTCTGCAGACATTCACCCTCTGGCATCGAAGCTGCTGAAGATCATGGAGACTAAGCAGTTCCTAACCTCTGTGTGTCTGCTGATGTGACCAGCAGCGAGGAGCTTCTTCAGTTGGCGCGACTCTCTAGGTCCCAACAGATCTGCATGCTGAAGAACATGTAGACATCCCTCCAAGGTATAGGAGTGTAACGGTCCCTTTGTTGCAAAGAGAACTTTGTCAGGACAAATAAACTGATCTTATTGTCTGGTGGCTAACAGGACTACACAGTGCCTTCAGCCAGAAACTGCAGGCATTGGCGAGAAACACACTTCCTCATCTTGAAGATCGGCAAGTTTGCTTGACATTGGGAACACAGTCAAGCATCAGTATGAAGGTGGGAGGATTTCATGTATTTTAGTTATTATTTATTTTGGACGTGTTTATTCCAGAATTTTTCTGTTATCAAAATTACTTTAAAAAAAAACTGTATGTCATTAATATTCACAGTAACCATGTATCTGTTCTCCAGGTGGTTTGTACCAGATCTCATCTTGGTCCCACATAGTGAATGCTCATGTGGTGCCGGGGCCCGGGGTGGTGGCGGGTCTGAGTGCTGTAGGAAAGACTCTGGGCCGAGGCTGTTTGCTCATTGCACAGATGAGCTCCCAGGGGTCGTTGGCTACTGGTGAATACACAAATACTGTGGTACGTGTGTCTCTCCTTAAGCCTTTTTAAGTTTGCTTAAATGGCTTGTCTACCTGTTTACAGCTGTTTATCTCTGATTTCTGTCCTTACAGCTGAAGATGGCAGAGGATCACTCGGACTTTGTGATCGGCTTTATCTGTGTTTCTAAGATCACCAAGAAGCCAGAGTTCATCTACATGACCCCTGGGGTTCAGATGCAGGCTGGAGGTAAACTGAAGACTTTTGATCAGACCTCCAATTGTAATTTTTTTTAACCTTTTGGTTGAATTTCATGTCATTTACATTCACATTTAAGTATTTGAAGTGAAGAAATGACATTGTGTATTTTTACAGGAACATTCCACCATACCCACATAAATACATGTGTGTGCAATGTTATAGGAGTTCATCTTTGATGTGTTGTACTGTTCTTCTTGTTGGTGTATTACTAGAAGAAGTACAACACAGTTGAACCATATGCAGTGTAATCTAATGAGACACTCAATTGATTTGAAATGAGACATTCACTATAATGGTGTGTCTACATAGGAACAGTCAACCGCTTCATGTGTGTCCGGCAGAGCAGAAACTTTTCTGTTTGAATCAGCCAAGTTGTCTACACAAGCTGCCTAATGGCTCATGTTTTCCTCATGCTATCCACCAGGGAGCATGACCTGAGCTATATGTTTTATGTGTGTAACTGCTGTGATTGCCTCTGAGGCTCTCAGTGTTTCCAAAGCACAAGTAACCTACAATTCAGACTTTGAGCTTGTAGAGTGTTTTAGATGTGTTCATGTTGGGTAAAGAGACAAAAATCCATAACTTTTGGAAAATTGGAAAATCTTTGCTCTCTTTTGGTGTTGTGACTCACCTTCAACACTTGGTGGTACTATGATACAATAAATAACATCTGACTCAGTGTTCAGTAGGCTGACATTCCCCAACAACCTCCCCCTTTCTCTACCGCTCCTCAGCCATGTCTCCCATCTCTCTCTGTGTGTCTCTCTTTACAGGTGATATGTTGGGCCAGCAGTACACAACTCCGGAGGAAGTTATCCACAACCATGGCTCTGATGTCATTATTGTTGGACGGGGTGTGTTGGAGGCCCCTGATAGGCTGAAAGCTGCCGAGTCATACAGAAAGTCAGGCTGGGATGCTTACACAAAGAGACTGAGCCAGAGTGGGCAATAAGAGCTCAGGAGTAGCATCTGCATCATTACATCTAATTTCAAATTTAAACTATCGATGTAATGATGATCTCTGCAGAGGAACTAGTGGTAATCAGACACTTTGTGTTCTGATTCCCTCCTATTGACCTGACATCTGATCCTCTGAGGTAAATGTTTACAATTGGAGATAAACAGCAGCTTCCCTATGATAGATATTTTTATATAAATATGTTTTTTCAATTGTGTGTTCTGCCCTGGGCTGCTAAAATGTCAGTATCAATCAAATATAAATCTAGACGTCATTCCACCAACAAAGATGACCATCTTCCAGCCAGCGTGAAGCCTTTATTTGTCACAAACCTACAGACTTGTCATACAAGAGTGGGTGTGGCTAAAACTGTTTAATTGTATAATACTTCTGTTGAAATTATGAGTATATTTAGCACACAGTGGAGCATCTTTTGTATGTTGAGTTGCCCAGTCTGCATTTTCCACATCACTGTTCACAAGGTCACACACATACTAATTAGTGCAAGACAGTATCTTTAATTCCTCTAAATACTAAATCATCTCAACTAGTAACTTTGTTGTGATGTATTTCCATTGATAAAGTGGAAGTAAAAGGACAATTAGCTTTTTCACCTAAACTTTGGCCACCTCATGGATCCTGTGAGGAAAAGAAAAGAAGAAGGAAACGTACTGGATTGTTACAAAGAAGTCTGACATTTCTCTCTCCATCTTCTCTGGTCTGTGGGACTGTAACATTACAGCTGTACCCATCCACACACAAGAAAGGTCTACTGGGAGAAGTATGCTGTTGGGTCGGTCAAGGTAACATTCAGTGTATGCAGTGTATTGTTTCTTTCCATGTGCCACAATTTTTTTTAAACAAATAATTATTTTTGTCATATGTTGGAGTGTTTTGTAAATATGCAAATACTATTTTTTCATAAAAGCACTTTGGCATGGTTGTGTTTTCCCTTTCCACACACATACATGTTTAAATCTTTAATTTGAATTAAAATTATATTCTGTTTATCACATTTATTTTTAAGTCTTGGTCATCATTAATGCTTCTGAAGATAACATGGATTTGAATATTATGATTAAAATACTTGTTTGGAAACTCGCTGTCTCTGATTTGTTATTTAGAAACTTAACTGTGATGTAATGAGGAACTTCTCAAGTAACAACTCTATCACTTTACTAAGCAAAGCTATACAAACTGTGGTTTGGCTTTAGTTTACAGTTTTTTTTTTCTAATGACCTGGTAAGAAAGTGAAACTGTGTTTAATAAGGGCCAAATAAATGTTTTGTCCTCTCTGAGCGTTGCGTCCTGTATCACTAATATAAAGGCTGTACCTGATATGAAATGGCAATACATTAGCTTCCTTCTCTAACCATGTTGCATCCGTCTCTCGGTCCGGCTGCTTTGCCCCATACAACATCAGAAAAATCCGACCTTATTTGACTCAGTACACCCACCCAACTCTTAGTCGAGGACATGGATCTCTCGCCTCGACTGCTGCAATGCTCTTCTGGCGGGCCTCCCTTCTTGCGCAGTGAAAACATGGTCCAGAATGCGGCAGCCCGTTCGGCCTTCAGTCAGCCTAAAATGGCACATGTCACTTCGCCACCCATCGACCTCCACTTGCTACCCATATCCGACCGAATCATATTCACGTCACTAATGCTGCCTTCAGAGTGACTTCTGGGTCTGCACCATCTAAAAGAAATGTCGTCTAGTGATGCCACCCCTGCACACAGGGCAATCTCAGTCCAGACTGTTCTTATCTGTGGTTCCCCGACGGTGGAACAAGCTACACAATCCTATCTAAACAGCAGGGCGCCCCTCTCTATCTTCAAGAATCTCTTGAAAACTCATCTCTTACGAGCGCACCTCCTTTTCTAAAAGCATAACATGTATAATTAGCACTTAGGTGCACTTCTTTAATACAGTCGCCTTGCACGTATTAAATATATGTAGTACTTAATATTAACAGTAAGGTTCCTACTGCATTGAAGCATACTGATGTCCTTCACTTGTAAGTCTGGTTAAAAACATCTGCCAAATGAGTTAATGACCTTGACCGGTTTTCTGTTACTTGACACAGAATTAATCAAAGTAGTTGATAAAAATGTTTCACCACAATACAAACTAAAACAATTTTAGGTTTTAAAACTATTTTGAGTCCATCTGGACCACAGGATGGAAGACCCATCATAGTTGATATTGTACTTCAGTGTACTTCAAATTAGGTAGACCAAAATGCTGTATAGAAAACCAAGGGCTTTAGGTGGTTTGGGCACACTGGTCGGTTGTCCGATTGGTAATCCATCTTTAGTTAAATGACTGTTATTCTGAAAAAAAAAAATCCGAATGGAAATTATGTTTCTTCTGCCTCCAAAGGAGCACAGAGAGCGGGACTAAGCGATTACCTCCGGGAAAGTGAAATGAAACCATCAAGGAAAGTGCGAGGATTTTGGAATTTGAGGTTGTCAGTCCACATAGACTTTACATCAGAAATAAACATGTTTACAGCCTGGTACAGAAAAAGGTTTTGGTCTCTAAAACAAATTTCCACCTTCGTCACAACTATACAGGGGGGGATTTTTTATATAGCTCATTTTATTTAGTCTTAGAGATGTGCATAATTAATGTCGTGCCGCTTTGAGTGACAGATGCTTGCCACAAACCAGCATTCACTGAGGTCTCGGCTCAACACACGCCCCACCCCTTTGCCCATTTTGGGATTAGCCGGAAGTTAGTCACTCTACCAAAATGGCGGGAGCAACCTACTTTTTTTTGGCAGCAAACCACTCCGCTCTATTCGGACACGTAAGGGTGACGTCATAGAGGCGACGGCCTTTTATATGTACGATTTATGGATGGGACACACGCTCCTGTTGGATCTCTTAAATATACGATAGAATGGAAAACATTTGCATTGACAGTTTAATCCTTAAACTTCACGATGTGAACGCGGTGAAGTTTGGAGAGTACAAGCTGAAGAGTGGCATGACGACACCTATTTATATCGATCTGAGAGTTCTGGTATCGCACCCTGCTCTCATGAATCAGGTAAACACGTGGTACTGCGTTTTAATCCTCACAGCCTGACTTTAAAAGAACTTTAAAGCTCCTGTGGCTACACTGTTCTAAGGCTTAACGTTGTTATTCGCGTGAAAATGTCAGTTCTTTGCATTGGAAATTATGTTACTTTACACGTGGTGGTCGGTGAGCTCATTTACGTACGTCCACAGACTGTAGAGCGTCATGAAAGCAGCGCAAACACTGGTGGGCAGCTCAGAGCTAAAAGTTTAAGAAACATGGCGAAGGAGGAGGGGGTCCAGTATTGCAGAGGCCTAAAAGCCAAGGAAAGTGAAAGTGAAACTAAAGAAGCACATTTGTCTGAAAGTTGTAGAGTTTATCACCCTGTGAGGAATCAGCAGAGCAGGTTCTAGATATCCCCATTAACAACCATTTGTGGAGTTTAAACATGATCATGGAAATAAAATGTGTTGACCCTCAGAGGAATGGTGGGGAAATGACCTCCTTCTTGCAACAGTTATAGGTACATTGGATGTTTATGTCTCCTGCAACACTGCTACTTAAGAAACTTGTTTGCAGCTGCACACCCTATTCATTTTTTTATTTTCAGGTGGCAAGTCTCATCTACCAGCGAGTGCAAGAAGAGAAGCTACAGTTTGACTCAGTGTGTGGGGTTCCATACACAGCCCTACCTTTGGCCACAATTATCTGCTCTAAACATGAACTGCCCATGCTCATCAGGAGAAAGGAGGCCAAGGACTATGGTGGGTGAGAGGGAAGGATAGTCAGGCTCATCTTATCTAGTTTTTAAGAGTTCTAAACTTGCATTTGTCAGTACAGACCTAGAAAGCACAAGAGTTTTGTTGTGTAACATTTGTTTGGACAGAAAGCCATAAAGATTTGTCCTATTTTGTAACACTTGATCTTTAATCTGAGTTGTGATCGCAAGCAGAAAGACAGTATGACAAGATCCTCATGCATTATGATTTTTGTGCATTATACTACCTTGATATTGTGTACGTGGCAAAGAGACACCTAGCAAGACACAGCTGATAGGAGGTGCAACATGATTTGAAAGCTGAACTAATATAAGACGGTGTAGGATCTGCTGATTTACCTTTTTATAAAGTCTTTACTGGTTGTAACTAAGTGCATTCTTTCCTTTTTAAAAAGCACTGCACATCGACCTAATGTCAAGCTACTTGTCAACCAAAGACATTCCTAGGCCCCTATCCTATAAGGCCTCTAAAGTTTGCCCCACTGGATGTTGATTTTGCCAAAGCCATCAATAAGTGACAAAGATAAGTTTGTTTAGAATAGGGACTATAAACCTCCTGATGTAACCCTGCTAGGAACCAAGCGTGTGGTGGAGGGGTCGTATCGTGAGGGGGATCTCTGTCTGATCATTGAGGACACAGTGACTACTGGCAGCAGCATCTTGGAGACTGCTGAAGTGCTCAACAAAGAGGGACTGAAGGTTCAGTATCAAATTACAGTGGTGATGATAATGCTACAGTGATCCCCTATTAAAGGGCAGCAGAATACAAGAGTCATTTCAAAGTTATTGTGGTCCCGTCATTTTTAATAAAATATTTGTTTATTTGGTAAAGGTGACAGATGCCATTGTACTAATGGACAGAAATCAAGGTGGTGTGGAGATGTTGCATTCTGTGGGAATCAAGCTCCATCCTATCATCTCCATGTCCAAGCTGCTCAATGTGCTGCTGGCAGCCAAACGCATCAACGATCAAACTTTTCAGAGAGTCCGCAAGTTCATCATGGACAACAACACTTTCAGGTACAGCTGTGTAGCTTTTCCCTTACAGTGAGTAGGATGGCAGGTAGAGTTAGAGTGTTAGTGTGTCTGTTTTGATGCATATCTTCCCTGTACCAGCTCAAAAGTAACATTTGCAACTTGTCTCTTTCAGGCCGAAGGAGGAGAATGCCAGTGATGTTCCTGCCACCAAGAAGCCATGTGTGGAGCAGAACCTGCAGCTGAGTTATGCAGACAGAGCTAAACTTCCAAGTATGTTGTCTTGCAGCTAAATATAATTGACAATATGTCTTTGGAAGGCCATATCCAACTTGAAAATGTTATGCTTTTTATCATCTGTTCTCTGTCCTATGGTCTGCAGACATTCACCCTCTGGCATCGAAGCTGCTGAAGATCATGGACGATAAGAGGTCTAACCTCTGTGTGTCTGCTGATGTGACCAGCAGCAAGGAGCTTCTTCAGTTGGCCGACTCTCTAGGTCCCAAGATCTGCATGCTGAAGACACATGTAGACATCCTCAAGGTAGGAGTGTAACCGGTCCCTTTGTTGCAAAGAGAACTTTGTCAGGACAAATAAACTGATCTTATTGTCTTGTGTGCTAACAGGACTACACAGTGGCCTTCAGCCAGAAACTGCAGGCATTGGCCGAGAAACACAACTTCCTCATCTTTGAAGATCGCAAGTTTGCTGACATTGGGAACACAGTCAAGCATCAGTATGAAGGTGGGAGGATTTCATGTATTTTAGTTATTTATTTATTTTGGATGTGTTTATTCCAGAATTTTCTGTTATCAAAATTACTTTAAAAAAAAAAACTGTATGTCATTAATATTCACAGTAACCATGTATCTGTTCTCCAGGTGGTTTGTACCAGATCTCATCTTGGTCCCACATAGTGAATGCTCATGTGGTGCCGGGGCCCGGGGTGGTGGCGGGTCTGAGTGCTGTAGGAAAGACTCTGGGCCGAGGCTGTTTGCTCATTGCACAGATGAGCTCCCAGGGGTCGTTGGCTACTGGTGAATACACAAATACTGTGGTACGTGCGTCTCTCCTTAAGCCTTTTTCTAAGGCCACATCCACACTAATAAGTTTTCGTTTTCAATCACTGTTTTAGATGTTCTAGCGCCACATCACAAATAATCGCTGTCCATACTATCCTTCCTGAAAATGCATATCGCATGTCCCCTCATGTACACTGGACATGTATGTGCCGGTGTAAACACAAAGCAGATTGTCTAATCTGCAGCTGGTTAGACGCAGAAAATACTATGAACAAGGAAAGGCAGCGTATCATAAAGGTAGCATTGCATAAATTGCATAAAATGCTGAATTTCACTGCACAACGGTTGCTAACAAAGACAACAAAGTGAGTAACACTTGTGTTGCATTCACTGCTGGTAACTGAGGCGTTTAAGACCCAATCAGGGAGTGAATGTGGGTGTCCACATTGTTGTTTTCAAAACAAAACTAGTCCAGCAGCATTTCCAGAAGTCTTTGTTTTTGTGGCTTGAAAACTCAGGAGTAGTGTGGACACCAGACTTAAATATATCGTGATGCATTTTAAAGCTAAAATGTATTTGTGTGGATATATAGCCTGAGTTTGCTTAAATGGCTTGTCTACCTGTTTACAGCTGTTTATCTCTGATTTCTGTCCTTACAGCTGAAGATGGCAGAGGATCACTCGGACTTTGTGATCGGCTTTATCTGTGTTTCTAAGATCACCAAGAAGCCAGAGTTCATCTACATGACCCCTGGGGTTCAGATGCAGGCTGGAGGTAAACTGAAGACTTTTGATCAGACCTCCAATTGTAATTTTTTTTTTTTTTAACCTTTTGGTTGAATATCTTTGTCATTTATGTAAGGTTTAAGTATTTAAAAGGAAGTAATAAAATGTATTTTTACAGGAACATTCCATCATACACATAAATATGTATGTGTGAACTCCAACTTTTCATAATATTAATGTGATGTTCAGTTCAGTATGCTGGAATAATACAGAGCCAGTACAAGTATAAGATGTGTCTCTGTCCAAATACAACATGCTGATGTAGATGTTGTAGGATCTTTTTTTTTTTTTTTTTTTCATTTAGCTGAGGTCTCTGATGTAAAAAGGTATGATTGACTAACTGACTTTTTCATCTTTGCTCTCTTTTGGTGTTGTGACTCACCTTCAACACTTGGTGGTACTATGATACAATAAATAACGTCTGACTCAGTGTTCAGTAGGCTGACATTCCCCAACAACCTCCCCCTTTCTCTACCGCTCCTCAGCCATGTCTCCCATCTCTCTCTGTGTCTCTCTCTTTACAGGTGATATGTTGGGCCAGCAGTACACAACTCCGGAGGAAGTTATCCACAACCATGGCTCTGATGTCATTATTGTGGGACGGGGTGTGTTGGAGGCTCCTGATAGGCTGAAAGCTGCCGAGTCATACAGAAAGTCAGGCTGGGATGCTTACACAAAGAGACTGAGCCAGAGTGGGCAATAAGAGCTCAGGAGTAGCATCTGCATCATTACATCTAATTTCAAATTTCAACTATAGATGTAATGATGATCTCTGCAGATGAACTAGAACTATTTAATTTTACATTGTCCAGGAACAGGAGTGTGCATGTTATTGTGCATATAGTCATATGTATACATGTGCATCTGTACACCACACTGCCAAATCAAAATACACACCTGTTCCTGCACAAATACATAGTTTATTAACATTTGCAGGGGATACCTGACAGGAGTAGGGAATCAGACACTTTGTGTTCTTTTGATCCTGTTTTATGAAGAAGCTGCTTTAAATGTTCTTCTGATTCCCTCCTCTTGACCTTACATCTGATCCCCTGAGGTACGACCAGATCTAAAAACGCTCACTTTGAGGATGAACTACAGGTTACCTACAATAAGTAGTTTTATTTGAAATCAGGTTTTTAATTGTACATTTTTCCCTGGGCTCCTAAAATAATCAGTCACTCATCAACCAAGACCTCATTCCACTGACAAAGATGACCACGTCCAGTCAGCGTGAAGCCTTTCTTTCTCACTAGCCCACAGGTTTGTCGTTCAAATAAGAGTGAGTGTGGCTCAAACGGTTTGATTGTTGTATAATATTAGTTAATATTATACTATGCATCTTACACATCACTGTTCACAAGATTAGACATACCAGTTAGTGCAAGACAGTGTCTTTAACACTTCAAAAACCTAACTCATCTCTACTAGCAACAGTCTTTCACTCTGAACAAATCAGCATTATTAAACAGTTTCATAGTCTTGATATTATTTAATTTATAGGTCAACTACAAAATGATAGCTTTTGATTTGCCTGATTGATTGCGATTGAGTACCCTGAAGAGAGCAGTCTGCTTGATATGATTTCAGTCTTTCAGCGCCTGTATTATTAGCTGTATGATCAGTGTAGCCCCTCAGATCATTGTGAATTACAAAACGAGGGAATAATGATTGGAACCAGATTAATCATCACACCTGACATGATTAAATCCAACGCCGTCCACGTTGCCTAATTTAAAAGAACAAATGCTGATTTGAGGCAATAATTGTCTTTATAATATTCTCTTACACTGAACTTGCTTGGGTTTTTCTTCCATATAGTTTCCTTCCATGTAGTTCCTGAGATGCAGTGTCTACTTGAATAAATCTTAGAGTGGCATGAAAAAGTACTGGAATAAAAAAACTGGAATTTTCTTTATTCATGTATAAGTTTGTCCTAAAATGTGCTCAGAAATTCGTCCAAGTTACTCCATACTGAATACATAGTTCAAACATTGACAGTACGTCGGGAAAAGTATGCGAACCCCTCAGGTAATGAGATCAACAAAAGATTACTGGAATCAGGAGTTATCAAACCTGGAGTCCAGGCAATGAAACAAGACTGGAGGTGTGGGTTAGAGACGCTGAAACATTTTGAGTTTGCTGTTCAGAAGAATCATCGGCTGATGTGAACCAGGCCTCACAGAAGACTTAGGATCAGGAGTTGTTGATTTACATAAGGCTGAAAGAGTTAAAAAGTCATCTCAAAGAGTTTAGATAGTCGTCAGTCGGCAGTCAGACAAACTGTCTATAAATGGAGACGATTTATGTGACTATCCCTAGAAGTGGGTGTCCAGCTAAGATGACTCCAAAGGCACAATGCAGAACAGTAACATAACAAAGAAGCTCAGATTAACAGCAAAAGGCTTAAAATAGTCCTTGGAGCTGGTTAACATCTCTGTTCATGAGTCATACCATATCACACATCATGGTGCATGGTGTCCTGCCATGGACGCCACAGAGGAAGCTGCTGCTGCTCTCCAGAAAAACGTCACTGTAGCTGGAGTTTGCCAAAGAGAAGCTTCACATGCCACCACACTACTGGGAAAATGTTTGATGGACTGATGAAACTAAGGAAGAACGTGAAGTACTATGTACATTGTAAAAAAGGAAGCTGAATCCCAACATTGAAGTAGGGTGGAGGGACCTGGACGGCGCGATACCATCGAGGGGAAATGCGTTCCCGACTTCATCAAGATATCTTACAGGATGATTTCAGGGTGGCTGTCGCCTACTGAAGCTCAGAGGACGTTGGGTGATGACCCTAAACAGCCCAAACCTCAATCCGGTATGGATACTGTGGAATGACCTGAAGAGAGCCACTCACACCAGACATCCTAAGAATATGGCCTAAAAAGTTGTAGTGTAGGAAGAATGGTCCAGAATCACTCCTCAACATTGTGGAGGTCTGATCAGCAGCTACTGGGAAAGTTGTCTGAGGTTATTGCTGCCAAATGAGGTTTGACCAGTTATTAAATGCAAGGGTTCACTTACTTTTTCCACCAGCACTGTTAATGTTTAATGGGTGTGTTCAACCAGAACACAACAGGTTATCATTTTTTGTGTAATATCAGCTTCAGTACACTGTGTTTGTCTATATTTGTGACTTCGGTGTAGATCAAATCACATTTTATGACCAATCAATGTAGAAAACCAGCTCATTCCAAAAGGTTCAACTTTCAGTGGCTTATCATTATTATTTAAATTCATAAAACTTGGTAAAATGTTTTACAAAGATAACCATTAAAATGTGTTAATTAATTTTTTAATTATTCCTGTGTAAATAAAGTTGATAGGGGTTTGCAAAAAATATATATCTCTGGCTATTCAGTTGCCTGATTTCATATTCTATCTCACAATTCATTCATTTTCTTGTTCAAACTTGCTTGTTGTTTGTGTAAAGTTGGACTTGTGAGCGACTGATCAAAACTGAAGCAGCAGAGGTGGAACTATACTGACTTTCAGTCATGCTGTATTAGTCATGCTTCAAAAACTGGATCCTACACTTCCCATAATGCAACTCAGTATCTGGGCTTCCATTAGACCCCCCCCCCCTCCCCTCCATGTTATATGCTTTCATCTTTCCAACGGTTTTTAAATGCAGGTTTACTGCCAGTCTCATTTAAAACGGTAAAATACATAGTACAACTGTTTTGTCAAGCTGAGTGGTAGCTACTAACCATAACTGGTGAACTGACCTTTTTGAGTGTCGAATTGGAGGACTGACTTGAAGTTTGCAAACAAAGAGGTCCCATCCATAGAGCAGTAACAAGATATCTGCTATAATTGTGGATGTTGTGTAGAACAGCATCTGCTGTCAGATGATGGGTTATTAAAAGTCATTTTACAGTCATTTAAAAACATTTTTAACAATTATTTTCTGTAAATTCATGCATAACTGACTAGATGTTAGATCTAGATATCTATATCTATATCTGTCTATCTATCTATCTATCTATCTATCTATCTATCTATCTATCTATCTATCTATCTATCTATCTATAGGCCTATATACATATTTTATTCAGAGGCCATTAAGAAAAAAATAATTTGCTATAATAGCTGGAAAAAGAGCACACAGAGTCCAGCACTGATATCGTTGAACCAACTCGACAACAGATCAAATTAAACCCCAAACATTTTCCTTCCACAACATCGAGGGGGTTCCAACTTTTTTCCCCAAAGTTGTTGGGCCAGCTTGGTGAGCCACCCTGCTGCTCAAAGTCATTTGCAAGGTATATGATATGGAAATGATGCCCGAGCTGGCGCTGAATAGGACAAATTGAGCAGGTCGGCAGGTAGCTACGTTACAATGAGCCTTTTTACAGGCACAAAGGTCACACTCGTTGCCTGGCACAAAGAAGGGGGAGGGCGGGAGGGAGGGCGCTTTGGATGGAGGAAAAGGGTTGGTAAGAATAATTCAAATCCTGTGTGTGTGTGTGTGTGTGTGTGCTGGGGAGGCGCGCGCGCACACACACACACACACACACACACACACGCGCGCGCGCACCCTTCCCCCTTTATGTCAATATTGGATCAGAGCAACGCACCGTGCGACAGGTGTCTGTGCGCACCCTGAGGATCCTCTCTCCCGTTTTCATCCAGGAGGAGGGGTGGCGAGCGAGAGAGAGAGAGAGAGAGAGAGAGAGAGAGAGAGAGAGAGAGAGAGAGAGAGACCATGTAGAGGTATAAAAGGTGTATACCTGTCACTACCAGCACACATTCAGTGCGCGTAAAAGGTGAGACAAACCTGATCCAGGTTGTGCATGTTGACCTTTATTTCTCTGCCTCTTCTGAAGGTAGGTTATAGGCTTTCCTCTCCTTCTTTATTTCGTTCAGAGTATCCTATTCTTACAATACTTTATGTTGCTTGTTCTAACTTTTCCAAATCTCCCTCCAGAAGGTTGCCTGACAACAGAGAAGCCAGCTGTTACGCGCTCAGCACATCTCTCCCTGGGACCATCCTCACCCTGTGAAAGTTTTTTGTGACTTTTTCATGTCCGTATTTGCTTCACGTTGAGCCTCACGTACAATACCTGAAGATGAAGTTTTGTTCGTTCGGCTCGCGTTATGCAGGTACGGGTTGGCAACTGAAAAAAGCACAAAGTTGTTTTTTTTTTGTTTTTTTATCACTGTTGTTAGTGCTGTAAAGTTTAAATTCATACAAATGATGGAAAATAATTTTAGGAGGTTTGTTCTCACTAGTTTTCAGTTTTAATCGAGGGCGCCAAATAGGTGAGGCCAGATGTTGCTGCCAGTGTGCAGCACAAGTGAGACTAATTCTTGTAATGAAAAACAAAGGAACTAAAATCTATAGGGTTTATTTCTAAGAAGTGACGTCAGGACCATCGCTCCATCTAAGACTTCTCAATAACAACATAGTTTCAGTAACTGAAGCACCAGGTGTAGAGGATATTTCACTCAGTGGGTGACCTTATTTGCATACAGGTGGCAACAGGCAATGGTCTATAGAAAGCAAAGGCAGCCTTGAACCAACATGTCACTTGACTTGTGGAGTCACAAACATTTACCCAAGGGTAAACTAAAATAATGAAAACCTCATGGAAAAGTGAAAGCTCGACTCACTTGAGTAGATTCTTTGTGTTTTTGACCAAAGTGCGAAAAGCAAAGACAGGCTTAGAACAGGTGATGATATGAAGGCAGGAAGTTCCAGCTTAAATCCAACATTCTTTTTCTTGTTTTTTTTTTTTTTTTTTTTTTTTTTTTTTTTTGCTTTTGAAAAGGTAAAATATACCAGCTTCACATCAATCCATATGTTCATGTGAAACCTGCTGGTTCGAACCTGTCTGTTCAGGTCAGTGATACTATCACTACTGATAAACCTGTAATTGATGCTCATCTTTAGTCAGCAGTTGTACCACCTTTATGTGTCTATTTGAACTGCCCCTGGACGATATCCTGTTGTATTTACTGAAAACATTGACATTTACAGTGATAGGGACGATAATCTCTGTGTCTCCCTGTGGAGCTTTTTTTGATAATCATTATCCCGTTGACACATTCATGATGACAGCGTGTATTTTCCACTGGGGGCCTATTCATTACTGTCCATCTCCTACGTCACGAACTGAGGCTGCAGGCGAGCACCAGGGAGCAGGGAGATGGGCTTAATGGGAGGTTATGTTAATCATTAACTAAACATTAACCACACAAAGCAGACATCTGATATGGGCCATCTGTCATATCGGTGCTATGATGTATTTGGCCATTGCACTTTAACCACTTTAAACACTTCTTTTTTTTGTGATTGATTCTTATGTTAAAGATAATAGATGCAATGCAGTGTTTTAGTGTCTAATTTAAATGTACATCGTTTGTTTTGTTTTTTTTAAATCCAGGTCATAATAAATTGATGATTGCAGTGCAAGCATACTACCCTCCCTTACTAAAAAACTACCCCTTTTGAATTTCTCATTTCAAACTAATTCATCCAAAAACAAAGCTGAAGCTGCTCCCTTACAATCTGGTGGAAACATGACAATGAAGACCAGCCCTGCAAACAAAGTGCCAAAACACAGTAAATCCATCATATATTTTAACCATCATGTATCGTTTTCCTGTCTGTTTAATCGATTGAAATGAAAAACTGAAACCTTCAGCAAAGACTATAGGTTCAAACTACCTTCCTTTAAAGTCCTTAAAAGTTGAAATGTTGCCTTATATTTAATCTACATATACACCAGCAGTGACATAAGAGTAAAACACAACTGTTCTCAATTTTCCTTACTTGAAAAATGACTGGTTTTACCATCGGTTTGGTTGAGAATCAACCCCGTTATACAATCAAAAGTAATTTTGAGCGGCCCCTCTGTGGCATTTGGATCTATAATTTAAATACTGATTATGCTGTCCCACAGT